GTACCCTTAGTCTTTAAGGTGCCACCGGACTCCTTGTTGTTTTTGTGGATACAGACTAACACAGCTACCCCCTGATGCTTGACATCTCTCAAAAATGGGAATCACAATACACTGGGGCAGCTGGTAACTTAATTTTTCTATGCATGCACCCTTAAATGCACATGTAGTATTTTGTACTACTGCATACATGGTCTGTAATGAAAGACTCTGTTGTAATACATACACTCCAAGAGGCAGAGTTAAGATTGTTGTTTGAACCATAACTCTGACACTTCTGACTTTTGCCTGATTCACTTCTCAGAGTTAGTGTTGCATTGACACTGTAATTTACATATAGGGTGGTCATTGATTTTGCTTTTGTTTTGAGTGGTTAAACAATGCCCAGGCCTAATAAAACCTTCTTTGCTAATGATTCTTCCTTGGGTCACAAATTTAAAATTAAAGCGGCATAATGCAAAAGTTCAGTATATGTTTACAAACAAAAGAAAACAAAACTGTTAACTCCGTTTTCAAGTACTTAGAGCCCTATCCAATTCCTGAACTCATGGTAAGATTCCCATTGATGTCAGGAGAAACTGAATCAAACCCACTGTTAATATACTGAGGCTTCGCTACAATTTATCAGGGGGGCATTGCATTTACTAAAAAATTTAAACCACCCTGATATTAATTATTCAGAAAATGACAACATCTTAAAGACCATGGTTAAAGATGATGGATTGACTTTATCATTTACAATGAAGGAGTTTACTTTAAAATAATAATAATTAGCAGTTACAGAGAGAGGGCTTTCCATTCAAGATTCTTAATACATTTTAAAAGCATTAATTTAACCTCATAAAATCTCTAAGTATTAGTATTTCTATTTTACACATAATGAAACAGACTCAGCAAGATTAAGGGCTAAACTTGTAGTATTAAGTGTGTACGGCTGCATATATACACGTGTGCCTGACTCGCTCATACACGCAAATATGCAATGAGCCCATGCAAATCAGGTTTTTACAGGCACACATAGCCCATTAGGCATTGAACTAGCCACATGCACATAAAAATACTTGACTTTCGCGTGTACATTAGCATTTGCATTCACAATCAGATATGTACAAATGTAAACTCACAGTTATAATCTTCTATTTTTGACAGTCTGGCCCCCAAAAAACTTGCCTAGCCCAAGTTCACACAATTTTTTTTAACTCCAAAGCCTATGTCTTAACCACAAGATCATCCTACTCTCTTATCATGTGACAATAGGAAAGGATCACAGAAAGAGATGATTTGCTCTGACACTCAGCAAAGAACAGCATTGGAATAAGGAAAATGGTATTATACATATTACAGATAAAGCTGCAGTGATGGGCAACCTGCGGCCCGCAGGGCACATGCAGCCCTCAGGGTAATCTGCTGGCGGGCCGTGAGACAGTTTGTTTACATCGACCGTCCGCAGGCATGGCTGCCCGCAGCTCTCAGTGGCCGCAGTTCGCCATTCCTGGCTAATGGGAGCTGCAGGAAACGGCGCCAGCATGTCCCTGTAGCCCGCACCGCTTCCCGCAGTTCTCATCGGCCGGGAACGGCAAACCGCGGCCACTGGGAGCTGCGGGCGGCCATGCCTGTGGATGGTCAATGTAAACAAACTGTCTCACGACCTGCCAGTGGATTACCCTGGCGGGCCGCAGATTGCCCACCACTGGCTGCTATGCTCTTTCTTTCTCTCTTACATAGGGCTCTTGCCTAGAATCTTCTCCGGACTTCCCCGCCCTCTGAATTCTGCTACAAATTTAAAGAAACAGAACAGTCTCCATATCTTTACACGTCTCTTTAAAGAGATTAAGTGAAAACACAAGAAATGATCAAGCCTTCTACTTTGCGGGGGGAAGAGAGGTGCAAATTGTTTTGCCTAGCTTGCTGAGCTACTGGTGGCCCAACTATGGGCACAGTCCTGCAATCTTTACTCACATAGATATTTCTTACTCAAATGCCAAGTCCCATTGACTGCACCAGACCTACTTTAGAGCCAGATGGTGAAGCCCCCCTTGCTCAGACTGGAGAGCATTTATCTCACCTGAGTACTTCCAGAGGCCTCACAAAGTGAATCCCATTGTCTTCACCGGGACTACTTGAGGGAGTAAATGTTCAGCCAGGTGAGTAAGGTTTCCACAATCTGGTCCTTAATAAATAAAGTTTACTTGTGTGACTAAGGATTTCAGGATCAGGACCCTTCGCACCTGATCTCATTACAATGTGCATGGAATTCATTCACCCTTTTTCTTATTTTCTATAAAACTGTGGTGATTTACTCTCTTTTGCTTTGCAGCCCGCACATTGACACAATTCTCACTTCTATACCCAAAGGCAAAGCAATGCTGTTTTCATAAGCTTACCTTCTTCCCCACAAATAAAGACCACCACCTCCTTTTCCAAGAAAACAATTCAAATTAACCAATAACCCCCTACAAGTATAACATCGTGGTGATGCAGAACAAGTATTGATTAAAACAAAAAGGGCTTTTTAAAAAAAGCATTAATTCTTACCAACTCCCGTAGTTATTGATTCTGCATCAATGTCGTTAGCTTTTTTCTTTGCCACTTCAGCTAGTGCCAATTCACCCTTATCTACTGCAAGGTAATGGATGTCCTTTGGAAATAAAGCAAAATAAAAGATTAATCTAAAATGAATCAGACAAGTAACAAAGGAGAATTTGAAAGAAAGAGGCTCTTTTCTTGCTTAGATTGCAAACACAAAATGGAACAGATGAACCTACTGTTATATTTTAATTTTCTTTGTACTATTCTTTCCCTATGCAAATTTATTAACTCTACTCACGTTGTTGAAAGAAAAGTCTCTGGTTAATACATAAAACACTGACCCTCCATGAGCTGATGAAAGTCAGGCTGATGACTTTGCATGTATAACTGAAACTTTAGCTGGATGCATTAGGAGTCTGGTGCAGCTGTCCTGACATGAACTGAAGAGGGATTGGCTGGAAGGTGGTTTGCTTGTCTTGTTTGTGAGGCCATGTTCTTTACATCTAACCAAAAGCGCAGGATGACTCCTGATCTAATGCTAATGTTTGTGATGCAGCATTTCCATATGAGAGTTTTGGGCTAAAGCTATGCTGGAATAGGTTTCAGTGTAATGATTGTCCTATTGCATAGTAAATTCTTTGTGTGAGGTGATTCTCACTGCAATGATACTGGAGGTACAGTACAGAGACTAACAGTGCTCAGTGACTTGAACATTCAAATAGATGATGAGATTTCTGAGTCAACTCAGGATTTCATGGCCACTGTGACAACCATGGGTTTAATCGCAGATGACTGTAGGCTAAGCTCATATAGTTGGCCACACTGGATCAGAGCGCTGTATATTATTCCCAAGTCATGGGCCCATCGTTGCCTCCTGTAATTTGAGGTCAGTGTCCACCTATCCTTAAGGGAAGAGGGATCTGTTTTGATGGTCTAACCTTTGAGGGTAATGCCTCTCTGACATGGATGTGCACCAACAGCCAGGCACAGTTTTGCTTACTGTAGTAAATGAAGAGTACTTCCTTGTAACTGAGGTTCTACGAGGAGAAGTCTGCCTCGTCACACTCATGGGATGTGCTAGCTGGTGCAGCTCTGATGGTGGAACCTTAGCTAGCCATGCCCACTGGAGGGCTCACATGCCCCCTCCTGTCCCTACCCTCACTGTTTCAGAATGTTTGAGGGGTGAGGCTACAAAAGGGGAAGTGGCGCTCACACTGCCTCAGCTCCTTCTACTGCCTCCTCAGGTCTGTGTTGTAATTAGGACTCTAACGAAGAGGGGAAGATGGGTGGGAAGTGTGACCATGCAGAGTCCATCTTGAAAAACCTCTGTTACAAGTAAGGAACCACAGAGTGGCTTCTGCACATTCCCACTCATGGGCTAGACTGGCTAGCAGTACTCCTTCAAAGGAAGATGAAATGAGGAGTTCTAGTGAAAAATGCAACTGTAGGACTGCACTGCCAAATTGAACATCCGACCTAGAGGCTAGATCCAAGGCATGCTGCTCTGTGAAAAGTATGGATGAACCTCCAAGTAGCAGTTTTCCAGATCTCTACAATTGGCGTAAGTCTGAGATATGCAGACGATGCCACCTTAGCCTAGTAAAGTGTGAGACTTAATTCCCTGGGGAAGAGGTATTGAAGCCAAAAAAGTATGTCTCCTGAATGAAGCGTCTAATCCATCTAGACAACAATTGTCAAGAAATAGGTTACCCTTTTTTATTTTCTGCACAGGAAAATAGGAGAACATCTAAAGTTCTTTGTCCTATCTAAAGAGAAGCCAAAGCTCTGTTTACTTCTAAATCATTCTAGTAGTGTGTGTAGCATGGCTTCAGCCCTATGGGCAAGAGGTTTGGGGCAAAAAAGATGAAAGATTGAAAGATGAAATAAAGAACATTCTCCCAGAGGTTCATAAGGTTGTTTCATTAATTGTGTGAGAACCAAGTTAAGATCCCACAGTGGAGGGATCCCCTTCATGGGGGATCGCTAGGTAAATTCCTTTACTGACTCATGTGTGAATACTGACTTATTGTTAACCAGAGTGTGAAAACCAATATGTCTGATAAACAGCGTTTAATCAAGGATAAAGACAGAACAGGAATTTTGAGATTAAGCATGATTTGGACTGGGTCTGATGAAGGAGGTATACTATTTTCAACTGCCCATATAGAGAACACATTTTAACACACTCCATTTTCTAGTTGATTCTTTCCTAGAATTAATTAAAATAGTTTGTACATCAGCTGAACATGAAAGCTTGAAGTTAGTTAGAAACCTATCGTCCATGCTGTCAGCTGGAGAGAGTTTGGGTCTGGGTGACAGACTCAACTGCTCTGGTGGGTCAATAAATCTAGATAGACCGGAAGGGTCTTGAAGTTCCCTGTCAACAGGTGGAGTAGGATTGGGAACCCTTGTTGCCTGGCACAAGCCAAGGTGATTAGAATAATACTGGTCTTGTCCGGCTTTATCTTGTGTATGACCTTCAGCATGGGGGGGGGGGGGAAGTACCCAAGAACCCTTGATTCCATAGTAGGAGAAATGCATCTGAGATCGAATGATTGTCTATCCCCATCCTCAGAACAAACATCTGACACCTCATATTTATTTGGTTGCTAATAGGTTTATGGCTGGGTGTTCCCACTGTACAGAGATTCCCTGTGCTTCTGATGTCTTCAGGGACCACTCTTGTGTATCCACGTTGACCCTACAGGGTTGATCTACTAGGTCATTGTTCTTTCCTGCATATATAGTGCTATCAGAAATACACTACGAGTAATGCACCATTCGCATAATAGCACTTCCCTGCAGAGCCAGGGAGAGTGGTCTCCTCCCTGCTTGTTTATATAATAAACTGCTGTGGGACTGTCTGTGACCACTTGAACAATCTTGTGTTGCACAGGAAGTAGAAAAGCCTTTAACACCCAATGAATTCTAGAAGGTTTTTGTGGAATCTTGTCTTGGGGGTCAATGACTTCTTGCATTGAAGGTGTGGCAATGAGCTCCCATCCTACATTGGATGTATCCACAGTGACAGTCACTGATGGTGCTGGAGGGCTGTACTGTACATCCTGGAGCACATTTTATGGTTGAGTTCACCACTGTAACGATAGCAGCACCTTTGTCAGAATGATTAGTTTCTGATACATGCTATTTATGCTCTGTCTGTAGTTGGCGAACAGCCAGTGTTGAAGGGTTCTCATCTTTAGATGAACATATGGAATGACATAGGTTATTAATTAATCAGAGGTAGAATATTACTTGCTGAGATGATTGAGTTTGTAGACTGTGTGTAGCAACTTGGATGGTTTCAAATCCTTCTCGAGGAAGAAGAGCTCTGTTTAGCTGATGATAGGTATTGATTTAGTCCATTCCAGATCAGATTTTTTTGATTTATCAGGAACCTTGGATTTTCAAAAAGGATACAATATGAGAAAATGGCTTTGCAAAGATGATTTTCTGATTATGTTTTTTTATTAGGCAATTATCCAAGTAAAGATAAGCATGTATCCCTTTCCTTCACAAGTAAGCGGTTACCATGGACAGGCAGTTTGAATATCCTGAGGGTGGCAGACAGGCCAAACAGAAGGACTGTGTATTGATAATGGTTGTTTCCTACTGTAAAGCTGAGGTATTTGTCATGGAATTTCTTAATGAAGATATTTAGTTTCCTTAGATCCATGATTGGTCAGAGACCACCACCTTTTTTGGGAACCAAGAAGTATCTTGAATAGAACCCTTTCCTTCTGAATTCCATTTGGACCTCCTCCACCACTTCTATTTTGAGAAGAGCCAGAACCTCTGATCTCAACAGACTCTTGTGAGAGGGGTCCCTGAACAAGGAGGGGAGTAGGGGATTGGAAAGAATCTCAAGCTATATTGGATACCAACTGTGGATTATTCTAATTTAAACTGTCAAATGTGGGACCTGGGGCTTGGTCCTAAAGACATTACAGAAGGTTGTTTGCCTCTTGTCTTGATTTAAAATTACTTCTTTGTTGAGAAGAGTGCTGTGGATCTCCTTGGATACTTCAGATAATAGTGTCTCCTCTACATCAGGTGTAAAAGAAGAGAAGGAAGGGTACTGTTGCCTTTGACATCTGGAGAGGGACATCCCTGGTTTTCTTCCTGGTTGCTAAGAAATGCCCAGAGACCCGGCAGTATATCTAGTCTCTTTCATTCTTTCTAGTTCTCTTTGGTCCTGATACTGAAAAGACCCTCACCTTCAAAACGGAGATCCTCAACTTTTGCTTTGGTTTCTGGTGGCAGTCCTGACAATTAAAGACAAGCTGTCACAAGGTGCTCCCTTTGCTACCCAGTGTGCCATGCTGCCTGGCCCGTTTGCATGGTCTCTTATTCACAACATACTCACAGTCTGTTCCTTTCTGCCATGTGTCCCTTTAATCTCAGATTCCAGGCACTGCAGAACCTAGCAGGAGGATCCTTCCACCCAGCTATCTCAGCCACACCCAGCTCACTCTCTGAGCTCCCCTCTTTATTTCCCATTCCTGCCAATTGTATAACTTCCCCTGGCTGAGCTAATTAACTCATTAGCCTTATCATTGCCCACAAGTGTCAACAATCCCCACATTACAGGCTAATTGATCCCAATTAAGCCTGTGATTCTCCGTTACACAATTACCTAAGTGAGCACTGTCACACAGGCAAACCTTCTCATTGAAGTAGCAGACAAAGCACCTCTGACCACAAAATCTGAGGAGTCAAAGATCACCTTGAAGACATATTTTTCCATTTGCTGAGTTTCCATTATGATCACATTTGCCAAACTTCCTCCGCTTGTCAGGAAGGAATTTGGAGGATATTAATAATTTTTCCCAAAGGTGATATTGGAAGTGAGCCATGACAGCTTGATAGTTTGCTACCTTTAAACCTAAAGTGGAGGAAGAGAAAACTTTTTTCCCCATCTTTCTCTGACGGACTAGAATGGATCAATCCCCTTTCCGACCTTTAGATAGCTGCCTCTACTACCAGGAAATATGGGGCAGGATGGGTATGAAAACACTCTTGGGGAATTTATCTGCTTGTTGCCTGGAAAGTGACTGGATTAGATGAGATGAGCTTAGTTGGGTGTAAAAGCCCATCCAATAAAAGCAG